CGCTCACCCAGCAGACGGCTTTCACGCCCGCAATTTGCCTCTGGGCGCCGTTTTAGCGCACCATCAAGCCCTGACCCAGAGACTCCCAGTTGAATCCTAAAATGGATCAGGGCCATACAGAGATGTCTCTGGAGCACGACCATTTACAATCTAGAAACTTACATTTACAGTTGCGCCCGCGTGAACTATCGTGATATTCAGAATGAGCAATGGAAAATAAATGATCTAGTGTCTGCCCCTGGCCGGTAGGCTTGAATGGTGGTGGGAAATTTCAAGCAAAAAATAATGCCCCAAATTAGAGAGTATTGGGAAAATTGTCTATGACAGAGGCAGGGTGAGGACTGGGATGTGGGTGGTGGAAAATGTGCACTGGCAGGGGATGGGTGGATGGCTGAATCTCAAACATGAAAGCTTTGTCACTCCATCTCAGTGATAAAATTAAAAAACCAGTGGGGTTCATGCCCAGTTCAATCAGCTGAATAGCAGTGGCTGAATAGCAGTACTCCTACATTTTGTAGAAAAGAAAAGTAGTATTACCAGATAATACTGTATTCTTGTATCTAGTTAATAACTGAATCTGGTTGGTCAAGATCTCTTAAAAGCTATTAATATACAAGGATGCTTTGTTCTTCAGATTACTTAAAACGTTTATAATAACAAATGTGAGTTTTAGTAGAGATAATACATTTATTTCAGGATTTTTTTTTAGTCCATATGTAGTAGTTTTAAGTAGTATCCAGCTGTGTGTTTAAGGTTGACCTCAGCGGTGTTAGTACCAAGGATTGAGACCGGCGCTCCAGCATATAGATAAAACTCATGCTCTGGCCCATTCACCGACCTCCTGGGCTCTAAAAAAGTGTTTGTTTTCATTGTTATGTCTGACACGTTTGTCAGCTACTTAACGGTCTCTAGCAGAGTAGGCAGGAAATACAGATTTGATACTAATTTGTACCTGGGAATTACCTTTTTCTCATTGTTTTAAGTTTTATACTATCACTGAAAAGCCTAGTACTGTAGACAAGTCTCTTTACAAACACTGGAAAACCATTTTCATCTTGAATACAGTATTAATGTCTAAGAATATAGATGATGGACTAAAAAAAAATTTTAAAAAGAGAGAGCTTTGCCAACGTTGCCCTTTTGGCCTTATTTTCCTCCACGTGCTCAACTGATTCTACTTCTTGTCGCTCAGTTACTCTTTCTCATAAGGAGTTGTTCAAGGTGTATCTTGTCGGATCAGTAGTGTATTTGCACAATAATTGCAATTTACTCTTTAGCATAATATAATTCAAGAAGAAAATGTCTAGTGTCTTAGCTTTTCATAGATAACTGTTTTGTTCATTCTGCTTATTTAATTAATGGGCTCCTCCCAGTGGTGCTCAGGGATGTTCCTGGGTATGCACTCAGGATGGGCCCCTGGCAGTGCTCAGGGATATTGTGCTGGGGGTTGAGCCACGGTCAGCCACAGGCAGAGCATGTACCTTGCTTCTGAATTCTCTCCGGCTCCAGTTCATTCTGCTTTGGGTGTTTTGGGTTTTGTTTGTTTTTTGCTTTTCAGTTTTATGATTATTTTGCTTTTATGTATTTATTTGATTTGGGGCACACCTGGCAGTGTTCAGGGTTACTCCTGACTTTGCACTTAGGAAAGACTCTTGGAGTCATTGATTCGGGGGACCATATGAGATGCTGGGGATTGAACCCGAATCGACCACATGCGAGGCAGAACACTATACTATTGCTCCAGCACCTTCATTCTGCTTTTACCAGATATTTGTAATTGAATAAAATGCTCACATACGTAGTGAAGTGTCACAGTGAAGGTTACTGCTAGCCCTGGCACAAAGTATTAACATTACTTGTGATTATTGATAGTTGCATTGCATTAAACTGTATATAGATTTTTTTTTAATTAAGCTGAGGCATGTTATTTAGTGAATGCACTTCATTGCTTCATTGCAGCGAGGGATCTGTGTAGAGTAGATGCTGTACTGTGTGTTACAAGTCCTTTTGTACTCTCATTCTCTGCTAAGTAAAGTAATACGATTGTCCTGATTCACACTGACTTTGAAATACCTTGAGTATATAAAGCATATTCCTCGTTCCAGGCTTTTGCATTTGCTGCTTATCTACCCTAGGGTACTCAATATTTAGTAACGAACTTCATCCCTTGACTTAGATTCCTGTTGAAATGGCACTTTTTACAAGAGTCTTAACCTATTCCTAAAGTTCTCTCTCAATCACATTTTGTTTCCATATCTTTAGTTTTCTTCATACAGCTTGACTTACTCTTTCTCACTTCATTAACTGCAATATTTCACAAGGGCCAGAACTTAATTCAGTGCTTTATCTTGAGTGCCTGGAATGTGGTAGGTAGATAAATCTATGAAAGAATTAGAGGCTGGAGAGAGAGCATAGGGGTTATGGTACTTGCCTTGCATACTGCCGACCCTGGTTTGAATCTGGCATTGCATATGTTCTTCTGAGTACCATGAGGAGCGATCCCTGAGCACAGAGACAGGAGTAAGTCCTGAGCACAGCCAGATGTGACTCTAAAACCAAAAATACATAAATATATGTTCACTTAATCACTTAACTTCCCATTAGTCGTCGATTTGCTCGAGCGGGCCCCAGTAACGTCTCCATTTGTCCCTGTCGCGTGCTAGTGTAGCCCAATGGCATCTGTTCGCTCTGGGAACATGAAGAGCCTCAAACTGATCGTTCATGATCTTGACGAAGAAGTCTGACCATCTGGTAGGTGGGCGGCCACGCGGTCTTATGACATCCTGTGGAATCCAGTTGGTAACAGCTCTAGTCCAGCGGTCGTCTTTAAATCTCATTACGTGACCAGCCCATCTGCTTTTTGACACCTTGGCAAATGAGACAGCGTCCCTGATTCTTGATCGTCGACGGATGTCGGAACTCCGGATTTTTTCTCTCATTTGAGTGAAACGTGATATTCCAAGCATAGCTCTTTCAATTCCTCTTTGGGAGACCCAAATAGCGTTCTCATCCTGTTTGCGTAGGGCCCAGGTCTCTGAGGCATATGTTAATGCAGGAAGAACAGTGGAATCAAAGAGATGTGCCCGGAGCCGGAGGTTCTTCCTCCTCTTAGCTATTTCTTCGACGTTCTTGAAGGCGTTCCAAGCCGCTCTCTTCCTCCTGCGCAGCTCGGGTGCCAGGTCATTTGTCATGTTGACCTCTCGACCTAGGTACACATAGCTGTTGCATTCGGAGATGGTCGTTCCGTTGAGAGCGAATGGGGCATCAGGAACGAGGCTGTTTCTCATAAACATTGTCTTCGTAAGATTCAGCTGTAGTCCTACCTTTCCACACTCATAGTCAAAGTCGGCCAGCATTTGTGCCGCTTGACTGATGTTTGGTGTTATTAAAACAATGTCATCAGCAGAGCGGAGGTGGTGTAGTTGCCGACCATCTATCTTCACTCCCATTCCTTCCCATTCCAGTCGTCGCATGATGTTCTTGAGGGTGGCACTGAAGAGTTTCGGTGAAATGGTATCACCCTGCCGCACCCCTCTCTTGACATCAACGATCACTTCTTTGTAGAATGGTGAGATCCTGGTAGTGAATCCGCAATACAGCTCACGGAGGATCCTGATGTATTGGGCTTGAATGCCCTGATTGGCTAGGGCTTCAATGACCGCTTCCGTCTCAACAGAATCAAAGGCCTTCTTTAAATCAATGAACGTTAAACAGAGCGGCATCTTGAACTCCCGAGAAACCTCAATGAGCTTGGTTATTGTGTGGATATAGTCGATGGTGCTGAATCCTTTGCGGAACCCGGCTTGCTCGCATGGTTGTCCTTCATCTAGTGTTCTGCCAATCCTATTTAGGATGACTCGAGTGAACAACTTGTAGATGACAGACAGATCGGGCGATAGTTGCCAATGTCATGGATGTCTCCCTTCTTCAACAGTAGTACGGTCCTGCTGGTTTTCCACTGAGAAAGATAGCCACAAAAAAAGCCTGTCTTCGAAAACTCTTGAGCTAATTCGCCAGCGTGGTTTGGCGCATGCCTCAGGCAACCGCAAGCTAACGTCCAAGCTCGCAAAGCAGTGCAGAGATGCGATCAAGGAAGACCTCAAAGAGAGAAGAGCAGAAGTACTGGTAGATGCGGCAGAAGCTGGGAAAAGTATTCGTATCGCCCGCCTGTCCTTCGCCAACTACAAGACCAAGATAACTGCCCTCCGACGTCCTGATGGATCCATCACATCCTCCAGAACAGCAATGGAGAAGATTATCCATGACTTCTACTCAGATCTCTTCGATAGCCATGTCCACTTGCCGACATACCAAATTCCACAGGAAATATATGTTATTTTTTAAATTATTAAAAAAATGTATACTATGAATAATACTCCTGAAATTCATTATTGGGTATACAGTCGAAAACAGATATATCAATCTAATATTGACTAGTCCAGTAATTTGTGGTTTGGGGTTTTTTTTTGGGGGGGGGGGTCAGATCCTGCGATGCACAGGGGTTCCTCCTGGCTCTGCACTCAGGAATTACCCCTGGCGGTGCTCAGGGGACCATATGGGATGCTGGGAATCAAACCCAGGTCAGCCGCATGTAAGGCAGACGCCCTACCTGCTGTGCTATTGCTCCAGCCGCAATTTATGAGTTTTCAGAAACATGTCAGGAGTCAAAGAGTTTGTTGGAATCCTAATTTAGAGATCTCAGATGTTTTCTTTCTGAATATCTTTTGGTTGATTGAAAGTGATTGCCTGCTGTTCTTCTGGTTTTCTATCATGTGGCTTCTCAGTTAATGATATATCTGTCCCATAATGTTTTAAACTATAGTGTCTACTCAGCTCCTCTTACAGTCACTTGACAATTTACTGAACTTTACTTCGTGGAGTGTAATTCTTAATTGTTCTGAGAACTCTGCCTTTGGCTCTACAGAGCTTCTAGAGTCTAAGCGTGTCTTTGAGAAACACTTACTCTTTGAATATGTTTAAGATTTTTCTTTCTTTCATAGACTGTTCAAGAAGAAGAAAAAGAAATTTACAGACAGCTACTGCAGATGGTCACAGGCAAACAGTTCTCTGTAGCCAAACCCACCACACATTTTCCTTTGCACTTGTGAGTAACAAAAATATTTCAGTAAATGTAATCCTTATTTTGTCATTTGATATTGAAACTGTTTTCTTTTTTGTCTAGGTCTCGATGTCTTGGTACTGGTCGAAATTCTTCGAAAGATCCACTCTTTAAAAATGGCAATTCTTACGCTTCTCAAATCCCTGGTTCTGATACTTCGTCGTCTGGGTCTGCCAGCCTTTTAACTCCCCGGGAACAACTGTCCCACAATGTGTTTTCCATACCATCTTGTACCCCAGATGTTGCTGCATTTGGATCCAAAGATTCTGATCCTCACCATCAACCCCAGCATCACTACTCTGTTTCAGCTCAGCCTGATAATTTATCAGCTTCAAATACACAGTCTGAAGGTAAAATGTCATGTAACTATATAACAATAATTTCAATTCTAGTACTTAACTGTTACTGAATCTGTGAATTCAGGAAAGACTGGAATACACATATAATTTAACATATGAGACTTTCATTGATTTCAGTTTTGCCACTAGTAAACTAAACTTATGAGTGACTTACTGTTTTCTTACAAGGAGATGCAAATAATTTGATAAATTTTTATCTTAACAATTAGTTTTCTGAGTAGAGTCAGAGTACATTCAGCCCAGTTCCATCATTTCATGTTTCTAAATGCTTCAATGAAAATTGAGTATTCTGAAGTTTCAGAAGCTTTGGAATACAAGAAGTTATATAAAAGTTCTTACCAAAGTAATACTTAAAAAAAACATGGGTAGTAAGTTTATTGCATTTTAGTATAGTTGTCAGCAAGCGTTAGGAAAGAAAAATTATTTTTTTGTATGTGGGCTGGGGTTTAGTTTTGGGGCCATATCTGGCAATGCTAGGGCTAGGGTTCCTCCTGGCTCTGCACTCAGGAGTTACTCCTGGATGTGTTGGGGGACCATATGGGATGCCAGGGGTAGAACACACTTGGCAAGCACTCTACTTACTGCACTCTCTCTCCAGCCCCTCGAGTTGGTTTTCTACCTATTTACGAAAATAACCATTCTCTTAGCATTCCAGTTAGTGAAAGATTTGCTGTCAAGAGTTTTATTTGCTTGGCATGATAGGAGGGATATTATTTAGAGGTTAGACTATCAAAAAGACTCTTAGTGCCCTCCTCTTGTTCCTTTGGTCATTTTGTTTTTAATGTAGTCCTCACTTTTCTAAGATATTTACTTGGGATTAAAATTGGAAATATTAAAAAATTGGAAATATATATGTACATATATAATTTTTAATTATATAATTTTTTATAAAAATTTAACTATATAATTTTTTCATAAAAGACATTAAATTTCATGGTATGGTATGAGAACTATAATAAGGGAAAAAAGATTTTAAACTCAATGTATACTTTTTGTGGTGAGGACATGTTTACAACTAACGAACAAAAAAGCTACATTAAACTATTCAGTTACTTTGCTGTGTCATTCAGAATCTTTTGTTCCCCTTCTTTCTCTTTTTGTCTTCCCTTCCAAATTCTTCTCTTTCTTTTCTCTCTTCTGCTCTTCCCTCCCACTTTTTATTCTCCTTTCTTAACCAATCTCATGGTAGTTCATGAACTTTTAGAAATCTTGACATGTTCTTATTCCCCCCAAAACAGGCAGAGGAAGCACTCGTAGTAAACACAGCCACGGGTAGATGCCGAAGAGCACCCGGATCGTGCGCTTTGGGCTGTGACTGTCTTATTTGGAGGACAGACCCTTTCCCATTCCTATTTCCGACTCCGTGAAAATAGACTTGCACTTTCCTTTCTGCCTTATCTCTGTGCTTGTGCTTGCTATGTTACTGTGATGGAAATAGATTATAATGGCATGTACAACAGTGTGGAATTTTATTAATAATCAAATACTCTTATGGTTGTTTAGGATCAGACTCTGTGATTTTACTCAAAGTGAAAGAGTCCCAGACTCCAGCTCCCAGGTAAACTTTCTTTTCCCTCTCCTTAATTGATTTCTTCACTAAGAGATATAAAAATGCCTTAATTCAGACCTCTCTCATGTTGATTTATTTGGATAACTTTTGTCATACTTGCTCTGACTCCCAAGTTTTTCTTCATTCCATCTTTCATCTGTTCTGTAATCATTCTTTCGCTTTGTTCGTGTTTTCCATTCTGCGACAGGAGTGATCTTCCTAAATGTACTATCTGTTCATTCACTGAACTTTCTCAGGGGTGGCTTGTAAGACAAAATCAAGCATAAACTTGTTATTATGGTACACAAGGTACTTTCTCCACTCTTCTTACTTCATGTCATCATATTCTCTGTTGGCTATTTATTGAGACACTGTTGTGTTAATGCCATGCAGACATTGGCAGTAACAACAGTGAACAAAAGTAATACCCTGCTCTCAAAGTTCCTAGCTGTAATGGGTAAGACGAAAGGGAATGTGTGGAGGGGCAGGTAATGAAGAAACATAGATGCCGGAGTAGCTGGAAAGAGAGTTCCTAGGGCTGGAGTGAATCGCCTTGATTGCTTAAAGCTCTGAGTTTGCTCCTATGTACCACGTGCAATGCCCCCTCTCCCCCCACCGCCCCATCCCCTGCCTCTCCAGCACAGCCAGGTGTGACCCTGGTAACCTCTGAGCACTGCTGGGGTGGCTCTGGTTTTCCCAGCACCACTGGACTCCAGCAGCACTGCATCACTAGGGTCGGTCATCTCTAGGAGAACTGTCCCTGGGCGTGACCCCCCCAGACCCCAACGTAGTGGATGGCATTATTTGTCTTGGTTGACCAGGGCAAGTTTTTAATAAAGTGACATGTGGGGAGAGACATTGTAGGGGTTAGAGAAGGAGAGCCCTGGAAATGTAAGACAAACTTATCACATGCTAAACTTCCTTAAATGGGATGTGCGCTTCTTGCCTTCCTTCATATGCAGTGTCCTTTCGATCTGTTTTGTCCTCCCCATGATAGCCTGTCTCTCTGGTAGTAGTCTCTATATTATCTTTCTGTCTCTGTTCAGGTGTGATCTTCTAGACCTGGGATCTAACTCAGTGGTAAAGTGTATTTTATATGTATGAGGCTCTAGTTTTGATCCTCACATTGAAAAATAACAACAATAAATGAGAATCTTGTAAGCAGCTATAGTTTGATAACAAAAACAAGTACAGCCTTCTCGATGAAACTTCTTCACAGTTGTTATCAAGGTCTGTGTTCTATGTAATCCTACTTAAAATCTTCTCCCTTTTAAAAACTTTTACCACATACGCCTAAGATAGTTCAGTTCAGTTGTTAGCGTGATACAACTCTTCTCATGCCTTTGCATTGAGAACACTAGGGATAATGAAATAATGTTTTCCACCTTAGTTTCCCTACTTCTTGACAGCTCCCATATACACTTGAATCTTTAGACATTAAAAAAAATTCTCTGTTTCAGTTTCCTCAGAGGATTTGACAATTTAAAATCTGTTTTGTTTGTTTTCGTTTTGGGGACACACTCGGCAATGCTTAGGGCTACTCCTGGCTCTCAGGAATCATTCCTGACAGTGCTCAGGAGACCAGATGGGATGCCGGGGATTGAACCTGGGTTGTCCAGGTGCAAGGCAAGCACCTTATCCGCTGAACTATATCTCTGTCCCCGAAATTATTAGTTTTTAATCAAATAGCCCTGGTTTATCATTGTGCCTTTTCTAGACTTCATGTAACTTTGAACAAGTTGCTCTTCAGAGCCTGTTTCCTTAATAAAATGTCAGTTTTGATACCTTGCTCTCAAATTAGAGTGAAGATTAACTTACAAGTAGAGATAAAGCACTTACAAAAGTGTTTTACTTACAGTACGTAATAGTAGATTTTTTTTCTTGGAAAGAAATTGATCTCAGGTAGAATGCTCTCAGTTCCCTAATGGTTCTTTACTAAGTCTATCTTTTGTTTATGGAGGATTTCTCCTAGTGATGATTGAAGAATGACATGGAAGGAGAAATGGCCTGTTGGGTAAGGCTAATTGAGTAATGCTGTTTCTTGAAGTTGGAGCCTATTCACCCAAGGCTTGGTTGATTGACGTTTAAATCTCCATTTCCCACTACTGCCTCTAGTTCAGTTCCGGCCAGGAGGTCTGCTCGCATTTCCCACAACGTGCCGTGCTGTTTCGTGCCTTTGCTACTTATTGTACATTCTGATCCGTCTCCCTGGAATTCCCTTTGACTTCTTGCCCACCCACTAGTTCAGCTTTTCACAATCTGACTCGTAGTATTTTTTTCGCAAGTCGTTTCTGACTTCTCCAGACAGCAACAGTCTTCCCCTCTAGGTACTGCTATCCCTGTACCTTGTCCTTTACTGATACTTTTGCACTTGTCGCTCGGTGCTCACAATGGTGCCTGGCATGTGATGGTGCTGAAATCGTTTTTAAATAAATGGATTTCCTAGAAAGCCAGAAATGCTTTATTTGAATAGCATAAGTACTCATTTTGTTTTGTCTTAATACTTAAGTCTGTAGCAAAGTAGTTTGCTGTAGTAGAAAGAATCGTTTTAGGGCGAGACAGATGCAGTTGTTTGTTTTTGTTGGTGCAGCTGAGGAATCGAACCCAAGGCCTGACACATGCAGTACATAAGCTCCTCCACCAAGCTGTATCCCCAGCTAGCTAGTTTGGGTTTCATTTGGTGGAGGCCCCCAAAGCAGAGCTCAGGGAGCACTGGGCCTCTCCTGGCAGTCCTTGGCCAGAAAAGACGACTCTGCTGGAGCCACCAGGGCTGTCCTGGAGATGCTCAGGGACCTTGTGGTGTCAGGGATCAAACTTGTGGCATTGTACATGCAAGGTGCGCCCTTTCTGACCCCTAAATTATCTGCCCAGCCGCACAGTTTTTCAGTTACGTCTTTTCCAAGACAAATTGTCCTACACCTCAGTTTCCTTTTCTGTACTTCATAAGTAACAACTTCTTATTAACAGTGTATTGAACTTTAAGTAATAGTGGTATAATTGTAAAGCTTATTTGGTAATTCAAGTGCCTAGAAGCAGAATTTTATTCCCAAAGAGCACAAAATAGGTGCCAGGTAATTGTAGTAGTAGTTATGCTTCAGCTAGGAACAATAATGATTTTAATGTGTTTGAGAAGCAGAGATTTGGGCTGGAGCGATTATACAGCAGGTAGGGTGTTTGTCTTGCACACAGTCGGCCTGGGTTCAATCCCCAGCTTCCCATATGGCCCTCGAGCAACACCAGGAGTAATTCCTGAGTGCGGAGCTAGGAGGAACCCCTGAGCATCGCCGGATGTGACTCAGAAAGCGAAGATCTTTGCTTTTCTGTCTTTCGCTTTCCTGAGCCAGCAGATACCTACGTTTATGAACAAGAGGTGCTTTCCCATACGTTGTTCTTTTTTCAGTGCGTGCTGATCGCCTGCTATGTGCCGGGCACTGTTCAGGGTGCAGAGCATATAGGGATGAATGGCAAGAAAAATTCCTGTTTCCAAGTTTATGTTCTTCAAGCAGAGGCAGACAGGTTTGAATAGTATGATTCTGTACTGTGAAATTCTGCGTGGTTCTTGTTAACTCTTGTTGTTTTTTGATTTTGGATCACACTGGCTGTGCTCAGGGCTTCTGCTCGGCTGTGCTTGAGGATCAGTCGTGGCAGTGCGTGGGGAACCTTACGTGGTTCCGGGGATCAAATTGCGGCCAGTCCGTGCAAGCAAGCAAGCACCTTGCTTCCTTTACTGTTTATTTCTCCATTCCCTTTTCTTTGTACTGTAATAAATATATTCTCAAGTTGCTGTTGTGATTGTTGCATCAATTATTGATCATATTAAAGGGACAGACCACCTACTTGTATGTTCTCCTATTATTGACCGTTGTAATAAAAGAGGCAATTTTTTATTGCTAAATCCCAGCCAAAATATGATTAGGAAATTGACTTTCAAATGTTTGACTAAGGAGCAAAATGTTTGACTGAGTTCCTGGTCTTACCTTTGCTGTGATGGATTGTAGAATTTCAAGAACCATGCTAATCATGGTATTTTACACGTTCAGAAACTAAAGCCCATGGAAATGAAGTGGCTTGCTGGGGTCACAGGACTAATCAGAAACAACTCTAGTTCTTCCTAAAGTTGTACTTCATCCTCCTGTATACCCGAAAACTTTCTTACTCCTCTTCCACTTGTTTTTATGAAAGATCCCTTTGTTAAAGAACCAGAGACCCTGGGGCAATTGGTAAATTTGTGACTCTGCATAACATCATTTGCTTGGATTGTCAGCAAGACCACCGCGCAAGAAAGAAAATTGGTCTCTCGTCTTCGGAATGGAGTCGGATTGTTGATTCTCCTCTCTGATTCGTGCACTCATTAGTTAGCTATTTGTACAGATTCACTACGACTGGGGATTTTTAGTACTATGATTTGTTGAATATATTGTGATTTACATAGTAAAATTGACCATCAACCCATAAAACTTAATTCATACTTTAGCCGAACCATTTGGGGACAATAAATTTCTAGCCCAATATATATATTTTGACAACTTAAAAACTACTCTCACATAATGTTAATCTTATATAAGAAGTAGCTATGCTAAAGTTACTTTTTATTTATTTTTGTTTTGGGGCCACACCTTGCAGTGCTCAGGGATTACTCGTGGTTCTGTGCTCAGGAATCACTCCTGGCCCGTTGGGGACCATATGGGATGCCAGGGATTAGTCAGCTGCAAGCACCCTACCCTCTGTACTGTCACTCTGGCCCCTGCTGTGCTGAAGTTAAATTTCTCCGCTGAACTTTGGGTGATCTTTATAGCTAACATGTATGCGAATAACTTACTTGTGTTCTTTTAGTTCCTAAGTACAAGTATTTGTACTGTAGGTAACATAAAGCAGTTTTGCATGCCATTGGGGGTGAATACTTGCATTTTCTCATAGGATTTGTTACATCTTTCTGATTTGTTACCTCTTTCTCTTCCTACTTATAGCCCAGCTTTTTTCCATGCAGAGCTGTGGATCAAAGAATTGTAAGTTAATTATTTTGGTATCACTTTTCCTTGTTTTTGTTTAGATGAAATAAAAATTAGACACCGTGCCTCCATGTAGTCAGCAAAAGTTCTTTATGTGTGTGTTTTTCTAAATTATAGATGAGATGTGTCTTTTAAGTTATACCTGTTTCAACTTGTTTGGAGCCTCATTGCATGGTGTTTAGGTCTTACTCCTTTTCTGTGCTCAGGAATCACTCCTGGCGAAGCTTGAGGAACTCTGGTGCCGGAGACCGCACCCGGGTTGAGCATGTGCCGGCAAATGCCCTGTCTGCTATACCGTCTCTTGAGCCCTCCACTTTAACTTTGACTTTACATTCATCTCAGTCTGTAAATTGTTGGGTGTTTCAAGTTCTCTTGACATTGAAACATTTCTCTGTTGAGGTTATTAAATCTAACAGTTGTTGAAACTAAATAGAATTTTAATTCAGAATTAGTGTAAGAAAAGAGATACCTTTATTTTCACATTGAAGCTAATGCAGTAAGTCTGTTTCTAGAATTTGCAAAATCACCAGAAGTTTTAGTCTCCAGTTTTTATTTTTTATTTTTTTTCGATATGCCAGACACAGTAACAACAAAGTCTCCAATGGAGACGTTACTGGACCCGCTCGAGCAAATCGACGATCAATGGGAGGGCCTTTACCTTTTACCTTTTACCTTTACCTTTCTGGCTCCAATAATTTTATTTTTTTTAATTTATTCATTTATTTTGAATACCCATCTCTCCACCAGTGACCATTCCTACCACCGCAGATCCCAGTAACCCTCCCACCCCCCCCCCAACCCACCCTGTCTCTGTGGCAGGACAGTCCCTTTTGTTCTCTCTCTCCTATTGTGTGTTGTGGTTTGTATAAGAGTTAACCCTGATTTTTCAGGGAGAAACGTTGGATGATTTACTTTCCATTGATCACTTTGTATATAGGGAGATGTTGCATGGCCGCATAAGCGGCCGCGCAGTTTGGAGGAAAAGTCCTGGTTCCCACATACTCAAGCTATGCTTGTAGAGGCTCCTGGTCACCGGGTTCCATCTGGAAGAGGCGGGATGCAGCACCTACCCCATCTGGGACTTCCCGGTGGTCTCGGCTCTTTTTGGGACCTGGTGCATTCTCCGGGAGCTGTGGAGCCCCCCACACGGCCTTTCTTCTCTTAGTCTCCAATTTTTAAATACTCAACTCTGAGTTATGCAAAACTGTGGTCTTAATGATTTCTTTCTTTCTTTTTTTTTTTTTTTTTGCTTTTTTTGGATCTCACCCAGCAATGTTCAGGGATTACTCCTGACTCTGCACTCAGTAATTACTCCTGGTGGTGCTTGGGGAACCAAAGGGAATGCCGGGGATTGAACCTGGGTTGCACGCTTGCGAGGCAAATGCCCTAGCCGCTGTACTGTCGCTCCAGCCTCTCAAGGATTTCTTTTTACTTTTTTTTTTTTAATTTTTTGCTTTTTTTGGTCACACCCGGCGATGCACAGGGGTTATTCTTGGGTCATCTCATGCACTCAGAAATTACTCTGGCGGTGCTCATGGGACCATATGTGATGCTGGGAATCGAACCCAAGTCTGCCGTGTGCAAGGCAAATGCCCTACCTGCTGTGCTGTCAGTCTAGCCCCTCAAAGATTTCTTTAAAGAAAAATTTCAGTATTTGAATTAAAACCTCAGTAATATCTTGTAACATTTTCTCCTGTGTGATTTAGCCTCATTTTCTTTGCTTTCTAAAGTGAAACACCACTATGTTCATAATCTTAGAAGCATACTTAAAAAAGAATACACATTTACAAATTTCCAGTCATCTGTTCACTTTTAGCAACAAATTCAGTTGCTAAGTATAGTAGAATAATTTCAATAATACATTATTTTAGTCTGTCAAAATGTGTAGCAATAAGTTGGTGTGAAAATATTGAGGGTTTTATATTTGACTTTCTATGTGGGTTCATTGTGCATCATTTATTGTACTTAATGCTAAGATAACATTCTTTCAGTTCAGTCAGCTTAACCAATGGCTGAACAAAAAGCAGCACTCCTACATTATTAAAATTTTTTTTAAAATGGCAATCTATATTTGTGTTCATTTCAATTTCTAGAACTAGTGTATATGATTCTCGAGCACGGGAAAGATTGCGCCAGATTGAAGAGCAAAAAGCATTGGCATTACAGCTTCAAAACCAGGTAAGACAAATTGGGGTAAGCTCATCCACTTGGGAATAGCTCATCAAAGTTGGAACTGTTTTGAAAGGTAACATTGATTTGTTATCAAAATTGTTGTGTTTGTAAGATCGTGTGGTATGTTCTTGTTCTTTCCAACCAGAACCAGTCGGTTTGTATGTAAGACACAAGATTTATTTATCCCACTCATTCTAAAGTTCTGCTTTTCAGAGACTGCAAGAACAAGAATGTTCAATACATGATTCCGTAGAACTGCATCTTCGTGTACCTCTTGAAAAGGAGATTCCTGTCACAGTCCCTCAAGAAACAGAAAAAAAAGGTTATAGATTAAATGATAGTGAAGATGAATTTCCTGAAATTACAGAGGTAAATTACATTTTATAAATTCCACACTAGCAATTGTTGGGCTTAAAAAGATGAGCTATATTTCAGACGTAAAAGCAATAGAAAAACGATAACTGAAATTGTTTTGCATACTTTCGTCATTTGAATCACATTTCAGCCTTGGTCATATTTATTTTGGCTTTATTTTTAAAGAATTGCTGAATATTGAGAAAAGTATTATGGGTGATTTCAGTAAAAAGCATTTGTGTTTTATCTTATATGCTTTTATTAAAATGCATGTTTATAGAAAGTTAACATTAAATAGTAAGTGGTTCTTGTTTTTTTTCAGTAATAAAAAAATATATCATAGATGGATATATTTTCCAACCTGGAAAATATATGAGAGAATATACATTTTTAAATGATGCGTTCCTTAATTATGGCCTTAGAAATTTTTTCATATAACTTGTGAGTTTATATATTTGTTAAGAATTTTGCCAGATTCCTTATTATTCATTAAAAATAAAACAAAAACCAGGAAATTGTTTTTAAAAGACACTACCTTTGTTCTTTAGAAAAGACTAGTTTATGAAATCATCTGGACCAGAGATAAAAAATTAAATTGGATATTGCATGGACTTAGAAAATTTGATAATGGAAAGCTATTTTAGACTTGAGAAATACTATGAAACAAGGGGCTGGAAGAAAGAGAAATAAGACGATCAGATAGAATGAAATAATGAAGCAGTCCACAGATAGAACTAGAGTCCAAAATTAGGCAACGAAGACGGTTAACTGTTGATAAATAAACATAAAGATTGTGTGAGTTTTGATGAGAAGCATGGTGTGTCTCAAGCAGTGAATGCTGTATTTCTAACACCTTCTGGTTCTCTAGGAAATGGAGAAGGAGATAAAGAATGTATTTCGAAATGGGAATCAGGATGAAGTTCTGAGTGAAGCGTTTCGCTTGACCATTACGCGGAAAGATATCCAAACTCTCAACCATCTGAATTGGCTCAATGATGAGGTAATCGTTTATGATACCCATTTTCATGTTCAAATAACAAGTGAACATTAAGAGGAAACTAAGCCAAGGTATTATTTGGCTTATGTTTATTCATTTTGTGGGAGTTGGTCACATTCGGTGGTGCTCAGGGCTTATTCCCTGCTCTGGGGCTCAGACACCATGAGTGTTGGTCAGGGATCGAACAGATCGGCTGCGTGCAGGGAAGCGCCTTAACTCCTCATACTGTTTCTCTCGCCCCCAGGTTTGCATTCATAAGTTGTGGTGCTTAGAAGACCTGCATCAAAATCAGTTCTGAAAGGTCTCTTTACTCTGCTGAGTAAGTGTGAGGCAGTGTGTGATGAGCATATTAGACAGATATCTTGGGCAGCCTATATGCATCTTTTAAGTCTGAAGACTGCTGAATTTGCCTTTGTATGGATTGAGAACTTGGAGACTGAGGGAGTGAACATTTACTCAATTGGTCTTCTCGCTTTCTTTAAGACATCCACTTCATAGATGACATTTTCTGGGCATATTTAATAGCTGAGTATAATGCTTCATGGAGGAATAATTCAGCATTCCTACATAGGATTCCAAATCTGCTTTCCTTTCTGTCTCTACTAGCTCTAGATCACCTAGATTATGAGAAATAGATTTTCTAAACTCGCACACATTTATTCACTACTTTTTAAAAGCACATACTGAGGTTTTACTATTAACTATTTTATGGCACTTCTGATGATCTTAATTAGATTAATCACTATAATCTGATCTGTCCTATTTCTAAACCTCTAGAAACATTTTATTTCAAATATATATATAAATTTTTTTTCATTTTTTAATCTTTGCTTGTAATACCATATAGGATTTCAGGTCTATGACTTGATACTACACTTGATCTTAGCCAAAAGGCCGAGAAGCGACTTGATACCACTATATATACACACATATATGTGTATGTATATATGTGTGTGTGTGTGCATATATAATATATATATAGATATATATATGCACACATATATTATGCTTCACTGTATCGACCAACAAAGTTACAGCATATCCCCAAGGAGGTCCAGTCCTGCTGCATCTCCTCCGCTTTCTCTTCGGTTACAGCATGGTTTTCAGTAAGTCTAGGAATTAGTTTTGTTGTCTTTTGCTAGTTCATTTGCTTTAGTTATTTATATTTCATGTGTAAGTGAAACCATACAGTCATTGTCTTTCACTTTGTTATTTATTTCACTTAGTATAATCACCTCACGATGATACTAATATTAATTTAGTTCTTTTTTCCCAAGAGGCACAATTTCACTTTTTTTAATGACAGCAGTACACTATTGATTATATAACTCACACTTTTTCATCAAGTCTTTTTTTTTTTGGCTTTTTGGGTCATACCCGGCGATGCACAGGGGTTACTCCTGGTTTATGCACTCAGGAATCACTCCTGGAGGTGCTCAGGGGGCCATATGGGATGCTGGGAATCGAACCTGGGTCGGCCGCATGCAAGGCAAACGCACTACCTTCTGTGCAATATCTCCAGCCCCTCAAGTCATCTTTTGGTGGACTTTTAGTTTGATTCAGTGTTGTGGATGGAGTGATAGTACAGCAGTAGGGTGTTTGCCTTGCATACGACCGCCCACGGCTGACCCGGGTTCGATTCCTCCGCCCCTTTCAGAGAGCCCGGCAAGCTGCCGAGAGTATCTTGCCCACACGGCAAAGCCTAGCAAGCTCCCGGTGATGTATTCATTATGCCAAACACAGTAACAAACAAGTCTCAAAATAGAGAAGTTTACTGGGCCCCTGAGCAAATCAGTGAACAGGAGGACAGTGCTACAGTGTTGTGGCTATTGTAATGTTACTCTCAATATAGGAATGTAAATAACTTTCTGAATAAGGATCTTGGAGTGTTATTGCAAGATCTAAGGTATTTTTTTATCTTCTTAAAACATCTCCATACCTTTGCTGCCCAAATTTGCCACCAGTGGTGTGTCAGAGTTCCTTTTTCCCTACGTTCTTGCCCGGTCTTTTTTGGGCAGGTGTTGACCCCGGCCAGTGGTTCTCAGGAACCCAGGGTTACTCTGAGCAATATATTTGGGACCTTATGATTCAGGGTTCAGGCATGGAAGTGCTCGGGGAGCTGGGTGGTGCCAGAGATTTAACTTGCGGCCTCACATTGCAATGCTGTGTGCAGCCATCACGTTTGTTTTGGTAAGGGCTGTTCTCACTGATGTGAGGTGACTTATTGTTGTGGTTTGGTTTTGTTTTTTCATTTATCTTTCATTTTTTAAAATCACTCCCTAAGTGATATAGAGCATATTTTTCATATGTCTGTGGGCCATTTGTCTTATTTTGAAGAAATGTATTTTCACATCAGAAGGGCATTTCAATAACAGAAGAAAAGAACTAAGTTACATAGTTTTTTCTAAGTACCTGTCTTCTTTTTTAGGGCCAATGGGAGCATCTTTTTCCTAATAATTTAGGGTGACTCTGATTATCAGCATTTTTATATACTTAGGCTACAAACCACTACATCCTCTAGATCCCTGTATTCTCTTTTGTATGCTTAAGACCTTGAAAAATAACAGTGTTTAAACAGTATTTACCTCACATTAAGTAGTATTCAGAATTGTCTTAGGTGTTCTAGTCTAATCTACCGGTCCTTGGAGGTAGATACTGTAATTTGATTTCGTTATTGTTCCTTTCACAATGGGACCACACCCAGCAGTGTTCAAGGGACTTACTCCCAAATTGCTGCTCTTGAATCATTCCCGATCCAGTTAAGGGGACAATGCTGGGCATGGAACCCGGGTTTCCTGCATGCAGAGCATGTGCTCCAGACCATTGATCACTGTAGATGGTACGGTTTATAGTACCTCTCTGGCCGTAGACAGTCTAGTTTTACCGTCTCCATTTATAGTCAAAGAAGTGAAGCATAGAAAGGAATAAGAAACTTTCAAGGTTGATTCGTGGTTAAGAAGTAACAGTTAGGATTCAGACTCAAACATTGGGTGTTAGCTGTTATATCATACTGCCTGAAAATCTTGTTTGCTATTTATTTTTGCTTGATTTTGTTTTGGGGCCACACTGTGGTGCTCAGGACTTACTCCTGACTCTGCTCTCAGGGATCATTTCTGGCAGGGCTTGGGGAACCATATGATACTGGGGATCAAACCTGGGTCATGCATGCAAGGCAAGCACTCTACCCACTGTACTATGGCTCCAGCCTGAGAATATTGGATTCTGTTTTAGGATTAGATGTGTAGAATTTGAATGTCGTATGTCATGCCCAACATGTTGACTTTCACCAGGACTAGCTAGACTATCCTAGCCTGATTCTCTTTGCCACTAATAAATTTATAAACTGAGTTTCAATAGCTCACCACTTCCTGAATAATATTTGACCAATCAAAAAAGGTAGGATTTGCTACTTTCTTCATTGAGGGAAAATGACCCTTGCTTCATTCAGCCTAGAAAAATGGATCACGAATTGGATCAAGTAACAGACCAAAAAACAAAATGAATATTTAAAGTATTCACTAACTTGTAAAAATTTTTTAGTTTTTTTTTCTTTTTTTAAAATTTTGGTAATACCTGGTGCCCAAAATCCTTTGAACCTGGGTCACTGTGTGCAAGGCAAGCACCTTATCTGCTGTGCTGTTTCTGCAACCCTGAAAAAAATTATTTCGGAGATATGTGGGGTTTTTTGCCATATTCTGCTTCCTTCTGCTAAATGGTCTTGTGTTCTCTATAGAGATTGGAGGCCTGTTTGTGGTAATTCATGGAAAACCTTCCAGGGGGCAGCAGTGAGCAGGAAACGAGCTGCATTCTTGCTCCTGTGCGGGTTACCTTACAGAGACTATATTCATCAGTACATATTTTCCATTCCCTGGGCCCATCAGGGGCTGCGTTTTTAACAGCTAAGTTAATGGAAATTTCAGTTTTTAAAAGAGTCTGGGAAGGAAAGATTCCTTGTCTAGTTTATAACAGCTACTCATGACATTTGTAGGAAGCATGTATCCTCTAAGTTCAGAATAATGTTAACCTTGGAAGCAGGTTCAAACTAACAACGATTTTTTAGAGCCACCATTTAAAAAATACCAGACTTCTTAGACTTTCTAAGTTACTGCCTTCGAGAAGCTAATTTTCTAATGGTGAGTTAGTAGCTAATCTCTTACTTACTTATACTCATTTAAAATACTTAATTCTGTTTCTCATTTTAGAATTCTCAGTATTCTTTTGCAAGTAGCATGTTCCCTCTTTGCTCCTATTCTTTTTCTCGAAGAGATATTTTCATTGATAACCGTTTCTTTTATCTCAAATGTCAGTTTACAGATGCATTAAAAATTTCAAAAAAAATTTTAAGAATCTCCTCAAAGTGGGTCACTGATTCATGAATCTTACCATTTTATAGATGAGGAATATAAGATTATAAAAGTTGAACATCTAAGATTTAGTTTATAAGGAATATTAGATACAGAAAATCATAATATTTAGCATATACATAAAGCCATAGGCTATCCTTTTTCTGGCTTCTTTCCCAAAGTAGGCCACGGTAACTGTTCACAAAATAGGTTTCGTGAAAGGAATTGTATGTGTAGGTGAGTAGTTCAATTATATGTAAATTGAGCATTGATACTTTCTGTCCTCTGTGAGAAAATCAAACTTAAAAGCAACATGTAAACTGGTTTCTTTGTGGAAAAAAAAATTATAAGGAAGTTAACCCAACATCATGGACATTGTACATACGAATTTTTGTACTATAGTGATTAGTTGTTAGAAATGTCTAAGCAAGAGAAGAGGAAAATTTAGAGGAGGAATTCCAGTTCCAATGACCATACTGCCCAACAACTGTCACTGTCCTCCCGTTGTTCATCGATTTGCTCGAGCAGGCCCAGTAACGTCTCTATCGTGAGACTTGTTGTTACTGTGTTTGGCATATCGAATATGCCACGGGGAGCTTGCCAGGCTTTGCCATGTGATCTCGGTAGCTTGCCGGGCTCTCAGAGAGGGGCAGAGGAATT